AAGGTAAGGGCAAAGGCAGGGTTGGAAACAACATAACCTCACACTTATATTGGCTGGGGTAATACTGAGAAGGAAAGGCAAACCCAGGAGAAGCAGAGAGGAAGGAGGAATAGCCCCAGGATTCCTTGATGGGGAGGCAGAGAAACATAGAAATTACTGGGACACAAGATCTGTCTTGCAGGGCTGAGTCGATGGTGGCAACCATTTATGGACAGCGTAATCATCCAATGATGACAATAATACCAACCAATCAACTAACCAGTGGCCATCAATTTGATCCTGACTCGTGGTGACCCCATGTATGTCAGACATGTCAATGTCTAAGTTTTCTGCCGGAGTATACTTCCAGGCCTTTCTTCTGATGGTGATTTGGGTAGACTCAAACAGCCTGACATATTCATTCATTCAATCAGTCAACTATTATCTACTGAGGGTCTTCTATGAGCCAGGCACCATTTCTAAGTGTTGGGGGTAGAGCTGTGAAGAAAGAAAACAACAACAAAAATCCTGCCTGAGTCGAGCTTATATTCTGTTGGGGAGAAGCATACATACAAATAAGCAATGTGTTATTGTTGTTGTTGTTGTTGTTAAGTGCTGTCGAGTCAGTTATGACCCACTGTACGGGGTTTTTGAGGCTGTAAATCTTTATGGGAGCAGAAAGCCTCATCTTTCTCCCATGGAGCAGCTGGTAGTTTCGAACTGCTGACCTTAAGGTTTGCAGCCTGATTCCTAACCACTACGCTACCAGAGTTGTTGTTGTTAGGTGCCATCAAGTCGGTACCGACTCATTATGTACAGCAGAACAAAACACTGCCCAATCCTGGGCCAACCTCACTACTGTTGCCACACTTGAGTCCATTGATGCTGCCACTTGGCCAATCCATTTTGTTGGGGGTCTTCCTCTTTTTCTCTGACCCTCCACCTCCCAAACATGATATCCTTCTCCACCGACTGCTCCCTCCTGACAATATGTCCAAAGTATGAGAGACGAAGTTTGGCCATCTTGGCCTCTAAGGAGCACTCTGGCTGCACTTCTTCCAAAACAGATCTATTAGTTCTTTTGGCAGCCCATAGCACTTTCAATATTCTCTTCCAACACTATAACTCAAAGGCATCAATTCTTCTATGATCTTCCTTATTTGCCGTCCAGCTTTCGCATCCATATGAGGTTACTGAAAATACCATGGCTTGGGTCAGGCGCACCTTAGTCCTCAAGCTGACATCTCTGCTCTTGAATACTTTAAAAAGTTCCTGTGCAGCAGATTTGCCCAATGCAATACGTCGTCTGATCTCTTATACTGCTGCTTCTGCAAATGTTGATAGTTGATTCAAGAAGAATGAAGTCCTTGACAACTTCAATCTTTTCTCCATTGATAAGAATGTTGTTTATTGGTCCAGTGGTGAGGATGTTTGTTTTCTTGACATTGAGATGTAATCCATACTGAAGGCTGTGCTCTTTGATCTTCATTAGTAAATGTTTTAAGTCCTCTTCACTTTCAAACATGCATAAAAAAGGCAAAATGTAGAACATGTTAAGTGGTGACAAGCGTTATGAAAAAAATAAAGTAGGAAGGAGGCTCAGAGTGCAGGGAATGCAGGTAGGATTCCATTTGAAATGGGGTGACCCAGGAAGGCCTACTGAGGGGAAGATGCTAGAGCAAAGGTGAGGGAGGTGAGGAGTGAGCTTGGGGAGGGCAAAGACCCAAGTGGGAATGAAAGGGGAAAGGGAGTGAAGATGGGGAGACAGGTGGTAAGAAAGGAGGGTAGAACTTCTAAAGGGATTTCGTTACTCAAGATGAACCAGAAACCACACAGGGTTCTGAGCACAGGAGGGAGGAACAGGACAGGGTCACTCTGGCCGCTGAGCTGAGGAGAGACTGCAGGGGGCAGGAACAGTAGCAGGGAGACAAGATGGGCAGCTACCATGATGGTCTAGGCCCAGGTGATGGAGGCTGGGACTTGATAGAGAGATGGTCAGTTCTGAATGGATTTTGAAGGAAGAGCTTATTGGATGTGGGTGTGAGGGAAATGAAAAATGACTGCAAGATTTTTGTACTGAGCAGCTGAAAGGATAGCATCTTTAAAAATGTAGAGAAGCAAGTTTGATTTTGGAAGAGTAACATGTGCCATTTGTCCCAGGAATGAAAGTCAGTGTCCTTAGCATGGGGTCCCTGCTATTAGCCTCTCCCTCAGGGTCCTTTGATGTGTGTAGGGAGGGCAGAGGGTGGGCAGGGGGAGCAGGCAGTTCACTCGGAGGGAGCAGCTTCATAGTAGCCAGGGAACAGGATAAAGCCCAAGTCTGTCATAGGGCACACTTGGCTTTGAATTCAACAGGTGAAGGCCTAGAATCCCTGCTTGTTGTGTGACCTTGGACAGGTTGCTTTCTGAGTTGGTTTTCCTCATTGTTGAAATGGAATAGGCTAATGAAGGAACAATATAGAATCTGACTGAACAGAAAACAGATGTTTCTGCCACCTTTAGAAAATAAAGGAAGTATGAAACTTCCTTTCCTAGGAAGTATGACAGGAAACTAGATGTTCCTGCTAGTTTTGTGGGGTAGGCCTTCGACTACTATCTGCAAGGTTGGCGGTTCAAATCCACTAGCCACTCTGTGGGACAAAGATGAGGCTGTTTTTCCCATAAAGATTTATAGTCTCGGAAACCCTACATAGTGTTGCTATGAGTTGAAATTGACTTCATAGCAGTGGGTTTGGAATGATTTTATCCAGCTCCCTGTCATAGGAGGTATGGGGACAGAGGCTGAATGCACGCATGGCGCTGAGAGGTTACCTCAACCAATAAAACTTGCCCATCACCTGGCACTGCTATGAGATTTGCAAGGTCAGCAGTTTGAAACTACCAGCTGTTCTGCAGTAGAAAGATGAGGCTTTCTGCTCCCGTAAAGATTTACAGCCTCGGAAACCCTGTACAGGGTCGCTGTGAGTCGGAACCGACTCCACGGCACATAACAACAACAACAACTATGTATGTATATATAGTTGTTGTTGTCAGGTGCCATTGAGTCGGAACCAACTCATGGCGACCCCATGCACAGCAGAATGAAACAATGTCCAATCCTGGGCCAACCTCACTACTGCTGCCACACTTGACACCATCAATTATGCCATCTGGCCAATCCATCTCGTTGGGGGTCTTCCTCTTTTTCTCTGACCCTCCATCTTTCCCAGCATGACATTCTTCTCCAGCGACTGTTCCCTCCTGACAATATGTCCAAAGTATGAGAGACGAAGCTTAGCCATCTTGGCTTCCAAGGAGCACTCTGGCTGCACTTCTTCCAAAACAGATCTATTGGTTCTTTTGGCAGCCCATGGCACTTTCAGTATTCTCCTCCAACACCACAACTCAAAGGCATCAATTCTTCTATGATCTTCCTTATTTGCCGTCCAGCTTTCGCATCCATATGAGGTTACTGAAAATACCATGGCTTGGGTCAGGCGCACCTTAGTCCTCAAGCTGACATCTCTGCTCTTGAATACTTTAAAAAGTTCCTGTGCAGCAGATTTGCCCAATGCAATACGTCGTCTGATCTCTTATACTGCTGCTTCTGCAAATGTTGATAGTTGCTTCAAGAAGAATGAAGTCCTTAACAACTTCAATCTTCTCTCCATTGATAAGAATGCTGTTTATTGGTCCAGTGGTGAGGATTTTTGTTTTCTGGACATTGAGATGCAATCCATACCGAAGGCTGTGCTCTTTGATCTTCATCAGTAAATGTTTCAAGCCCTCTTCACTTTCAGCAAGCAAGGTTGTATCATCTGCATATCGCAGGTTGTTAATGAGTCTTCCTCCAATCCTGACACCATGTTTTTCTTCATAGAACCCAGCTTCTTATATTATTTGCTCAGCATACAGGTTGAATAAGTATGGTGAAAGAACACAACCTTGTTGCACACCTTTCCCAGTTTTAAAACATTCAGTGTTCCATGCTCTGTTTGAACAACTGCTTCTTGGTCCAGGTACAGATTTCTCAGAAGTACAATTTAGTGTTCAGGAATATTCCTACTTCTCAATGTTGTCCATAGCTTGTCATGATCCACACAATCGAAAGCCTTTGTGTAGTCAATAAAGCATAGGTAAACATCTTTCCGATATTCTCTGCTTTCAGCCAAGATCCACTGGACATCAGCAATGATATCCCTTGTTCCACGACCTCTTCTGAATTATATATATTATATATTATATATATAATTTATTGATTTATAAATAATTTCATTTAACCTTCACAATAATGCTCAGAGGTAGAGGCCAGTTGCCACTGTAATTCCCAATTCCCATTTTACAAATGAGGAAAACTGAGGCAGAGAAAGATAAAGTTTTATGTCCAAGGTCACTAAAGTGGTTTGTGGTAGATGCCACAGTAGTCTGAATTTACAGCCCATGTTCTCTCATGTAGAACCTGGTGTATGACCTTGGGCTAGAACTGTCTCCAAATTGGCCTCAATTTTTTCCTCTGTATCACAAAGGAGCCTTCACAGCGCAATGGTCAAGCACTTGGTTGTTAACGGAAAGGTTGATGGTTTGAACCCACCAGCTGCTCTGTGGAAGAAAGGTCAGGGAGTCGATTTCCATAAAGAAACCCTATGGGTTAATTCTACTTGTTTCTATAGGGTCGCTGTGAGTCAGAATCGACTTGATGGCAGTGGGTTTGGGATTTTTTTGGTTTGCTACAAAAGTCTCCCAGGTGACAGTCAGCACTAACTGCCCCCCATGCCTGTATGCCATTTTGGACATCGAGCCCCCTGACGACTTCAGCGCAGCAACATCACATGGAGATGTTTGGCAACCAGCTTGGTTCTGGCAACCCACAAAAATCACAAGATATAATAAAGTGGGAGATGTTTTAATCTACTGAGTTTCGGCATGGTTTGTTATGTGGAAATAGAGGAATAAAACAGCAACCAGCAACAAATATTTATTGAATGCTTGCTGTTTAGCAGGCACTGTACTGGAGCCTCGAAGAAGTGCCAGCATCTCTGGTGTCAGGGCCTGTGAGGAGCCTGAACAAACAGGCTTGGGTGGGAGGGTGCAGGCCCAGGTGTGTTCTCTCCAGCAATGGCATCAAGGGTAATGCTCTCATAACTGGGCGGAGCCCTGGGGGGCTGGGTACCAGGTGGGGTATCCCCTGAGGCACTGTACTTCAGATCTTGCTCTGTGGGGTATGCAGGGGGTGTCGGGGCCCCCTCAGCCAGGGTCAGTGGGTAGCACACAGCCTCCTGGTAAGTGGGGAGGAGAACCACCTTTGACGCCCTATGGGGACAGAAGAAGAGAGGTTGTTAGCAGACAAAAATCTCCTGCCTGCCAAGAGAGTGAGGAAGGCTGGGGGTGGGGAAAACCCAGGTGCTGGTTCAATTCTATATAAATGAGAGGGCTTCAAAAGTTTATAGAAAAATGAGAATGGAATTTTTCCATGAAATTTTGGAACTCTCCACATATACAGTTGAAGCTTGTCATGAGTTGAGTGCTGCCAACCTCAGCTCTCTCCACTCCTCCTCCTGCCCCTGTAGTAGTTACCTGTATGTGTCCTCACATCTCCTCCTGCCTTCTCCTTCCCTGTCACTCATTCTTCCTTTGGGAAGCTTTCCTGTCCTGTCCCAGCAAAACTCCCACTCACTGCTCTGGGCTCTGTCACCACGCTGACCTTCTGGCTGTCCCCTAGGGCAGGGACATGTTCTGAGTGTCTACAGCTGAGAATGAGTATTCAGGAATGTTTGTTGAACACTGAGTGTGGGTCCATGGACAGAAAGACTTTCAGCTTATTGTAATATTCCTTATAAGATTGAGAATTATGGGTATTCAGACAGGATGGAAGACCTTCAGTTCTCTGCTCATCTGGGTGCCTGAGATCTTGACCTGGTCATTCTGTCAAGTGACTGCTTGTATACCTCTAGGGATGGTGAACTCATTCTCTACCAAGTCAGCCACCTCCTATCTTGGAACAGCTCAGCTGTCGTGTGACTCCCCACAAATGGGCCACCCTGCAGAGACTTGAGACTGAGAGCAGGTCCTCTGAGGTTCCTCTACCAGGCTCTGCAGATGCCAGGAACAGGCCCTGTTACAACCCAGGCTGATGGAAATGAGACCAGCCACCAACCTTCTGTGGATCACCTATGGGGAGCCAATGCCCCTCCCCCTGCCGGAACTATCTGGGCTGGGAGTGTGGCCGATTTCAGGTCTGGTTGTGAGTCTGGGCACAGGCTAGTTCAAAGGCCAGTTCTTTCATATTTTTGATGGTAGAGCATGGGTTGGTAACCCTATTAATATGGGATTCATCTGTGAAATGGGGACAATAAGCAATACTTAAGTCACAAGATGGCGTGAAGCTTAAATGAGAAAATGCAAAGACACACTCCACACACACTGGGTAAATGGGATCTAGTTAAGGAATCTCAAAGGTCATCATGAAGAAGAGGTGGGAAAGACAAAACGTGTCACAGGTCTGCGGCAGGTCGAGCCCTGTACCTGCTATGAGCCAGCTGATTGATGCTTCTGACGCCCCCAGGAAGGGTCTCTCAGTCTTGGCTTCTAGGCAAGGAGTGGAGGCTCAGAACGGCCCAGTCACTTGCCCAGGGTTGCCAATCTGGAGCTGATGGGGGAGCAATTGTGGGACTGGGGAGGGACCAATGGCAGGAAACTGGCCAGAGGAGAGAAAAGGCCTCCAGTAGGTGACAGAGAAGAAGAGTGCATAGGACTTAGTACCAGGGGCCCCATGCAGGGGCCATGCCGGGACCGGTTGCGGCCCCTTCTGTGAATACCTATTGCTCACTGGGGTCTCGATCCATCTCTAGGCAAAGTGCCTTCTCAGCCAAAGTCCCCTGCAGCCCTCAGAGTGGCCTCTGGGATGGCAGGCTCATTGCTTCCTGTCACAGGCCAGGGTCACAGCTGGTGGGCAGGGATCCTGGATTTGAGCCCCAGTGTGTGCACCAGCCAGGGACCAAATCTGTTTCCCTGCCCAGTGCTCTTGTGGACTTCTCTCACAGACCCTCTGTCTCTGAAAGACAGCCCCACCACCGAGGAAGTCAATAAGAGGCTTCACCTTCCTCAGAGCTCCCAACATCCTTGGCAGGTGAGGGCAGGACAAAGAATATTCTTGCTCTGGGAGGCAGGCAAGGTGGGCTCTACTGCTGTGAGAACTGGGTTGTGTTCACACCTCCTCTGAACGCTTTTCTCCTCATCTGTAAAGTGGAGATTATTTACAGATTCAGGAGAAAAAAAAATATGGAAAAGGACAGCTCTATTTCTCCTTCCCTGCTCACCTCCTAACTATGCGCCTCCTCCTCCCCACTTGCTCCAAGCTAGAGAGACAGGAGACAGGCTTTGGCCATACCCAAGACTGCCCCAGCAAGTGACAACTGGCAGGGAAGGGGACAGGTTGCTTGGCAAACCCAGACACAGCAGGAAGCTTGCTTAGTGGACAAACATGCAGTGGCCCCTCACCCCACGCACTACCATGCCAGTGGCCAGTGGCCCCCAAGTCTCTTTGGTCATGGCCCCGAATGCCAGGACTTCTGAGAACACAGGGCCTCGTCCAAGACAAGCTCTCTCACACACACATCTCCAGGGATCCATTATGATGTGCCCTGCAGTTGTGTGTGGGCAGTCCTGCCTGGGTGGTCTCTTTGCATAGGACATCCACAGAGGCTAGGCATGGAAGTGCTGGGGTAGGAGAACTGGGCCTGGTGCTCCGCCACTCTTCAGTTGGGTCAAGCCATCGCCATAGGGGAAGCAGATACTGTTTGCCCAACGCTTAACTCTCCAATCTAATTTCATATTTATAGCAATCCATTTTACAAATGCGTAAAGGTCACACACATCAACTTAGTGGCAAAGCCCCAGCTAAACCCACCTATCACCTTGCCCCATTAGCTCTGATTTCTCACCTATAAAATGTGCCTAGTTCTTATATTTACCTCATAGGCAGATAAGGGTCATATCTATTAGTGAACACAAGAGTCCATTGTAAACTGTCAAGCACAGAAATGAAAGTGAAAACTAATGTGTGTTGAACTTCACAGTGTATATATTTCCTCATCAATCATCTCATATGAGCTGAACAGCAATTCTAGGGAAAAGGTTCTGTCATTCTCAGCTGACAGATGAGGAATCAGACACGGCCCAGAGAGTCTAAGTAACTTGCACCAGGTCACACAGCTTATAAAGAAAGGGCAGAGACTGCAACTCTTCTCCTGAATTGGCCCATGGATTTTCTGCTGTACCTACTGAGCATGGGTACCTGTGAGGTGTGATGTCTAGCCACTTAATTTAGGGATCTGAGCTCCCCTAGGGCAGAGATTTTGCCTGTTTTGTTCACTGCTACATTGCCGGAATCTTGAGTTAGACCCTGCATGTAGTAGTAGGTGTGCAATAGATATTAGTTAAATGCATGAAGGAATAAATTGAAGATAAATGGTAAAACTGAAGGAGGCCTGGTGATGCAAATGATTATGTGCTTGGCTGAGAACCAAAAGGTTGGCTGTTCATCCCCTCTAAGCTGAAACTCAGAGAGAACACATGAGCAGGCATGTAAGCTGGCTGATGACCACACTGGTCTACTGGTGAGTGGAAGAGGAGGAAAGGCAATAATGAAGAAATGGGCTGAGTTCAACCATGTTCCATAGACTCCTGTTGACCTGGAGATGACAGAGAGAAGAGGAAGGGCTGGTTGGTTCAAAGTGTGGTGAGACCTGGGGACATCTGAGCCCATGGACAAGGACATACCCACAGAGGGCTGGAGCTGAAAGTGAAGCAGTCAGCTGATATGAAGTGAGAGTAGATGCACAAAAACATCCAGACTTGCAGATAGTATCCATTTAATGTAGCCTCGGTGACTTAATAATCAGAACTCGACTAGAGGAAGATAAAAGAAAAACAATTTTTAATAAAGGAAATGAGGGTAAATTGCTACAGTTTGATGAACTTGACCTATACTTATGGAATTTAGTAGCTCTAAATATCAGTAGAGAGGGAAGGAGTCTTCACATCAAGTATCAATGCTATCCTGTCTGTACACAGGATAGATAGGGACGGGCGACTTAGACATTGGCTACCTAAAATAAGGGGGAGATAAAGGCTCGAAGTGACTGGCTTACAAGGTTTCAAGAGGGAATTTAGTTTAAGAGTGTGCGAGGAAAGATAGAGTCCCCACTGAATAGTGTTCATCTTGTCTAGACGGGTCTGGTAAAAAGAGATGGGGATAAGATTCTTATGATTAATCATGAGTAATTGTTATCATGACTAATTGCGACTGTCACAATTGTCAAGGTAGAAGTTTTGTAACAAAAATGAGGGAGTAGTTAATCTTACAGTCTAGAAACAGAGGACCCTAGGACCATTAAGGGAGAAGAGTGCGAGTGGAATGTGGGACCTTATCCAGAGAAGCAGCAACACCAGAGATGGAGGCAGAGATGGGGACATGGAGAGAGGGAGCAGCTGAGGACTCTAGATTCATGGGAAGAGAGGGACTGAGAGCTGGCGGCCAGGAGGCCGATTTGTAGAATGTGCCCTTTGGTGGTATAAATTATTACATATGCCTGAGCGTTTTAAAAAAAAAAAAAAAAGCTTAAATTAACAGAGAGAAATACTGTTAACTATGTTAGATGGTACACGGAGGGGATTATAATCATTGTAATGAAACAAGATGTATGACTTGTTGAATGTAAAACTGATGAATGTAAAACTGATGGTCTGCCCTGTAAACTTTCACTCAATTCACAATTTAAAAAAAAAAAAAAAGGATTGGCTGTTCCAACCCAGCCAGCGGCTCTGAGGGATAAACCTGGCACTTTACTTCTATAAAGATTAAGCCAAGAAAAGGGAGCAGTTCTACTCTGTGACATGGGGTCACTTGTTAGGAGCTGAAAATGATTTAAAGGCACCTAACAACAACAAAATGAGGAAACTGAGCCTTCAAGACGGGAAGGATCTTGGCATAGCCATTGGTCCAGGAGGTTTTTGCCTCTGACTTGAATGTGCCCTCAGGTAAGCACCCCCAGAGAGGGAGGTCTCTAGGGTCAGGAAGAGAGGGGTAGCCTCCCCACAGACCCCGGTGCTAGTTAGTCACCATCAGAGCTGGTCTGGGTCAGCCCCTGGGATGGGAAAGAGCAGAGCTAGTAGACACCGCCTCCCCAACACCCAGCCACCGTGTTTGCATCTAGGACTTGGGTCCCAAAGTCAGAGAGCCAGGAGCACCCTGTGACCTCTGAGGGGCTCCACTAGCGTGGACTCCGTTGGATCAACATGGCTGTGTGTACAGACAACACCCCATCCTGGTAAGAGCATGTGGGGAAGGGGGGCACTCATGCCAGGTTGGGCAGTGGAGGTCAGGGGACAGGCTCTGACTTGGAGTGTTCTGAGGCCCAGCCTGCATCCAGCTGACCATTAACACACTGTGTGACCAGTTCACTTGGTCTTTCTGAAGCCCAGATTTCTCATCAGAAAAGTGAATGTTTGGCCAGATGATCCCCGAGGCCCTGCCTTTCACTCCAATAGTTGATTCAAACTAAGACCTGACTTCTGGGCTAAGTGGTGTCCATTGCATTTTATACTGTCTCTGACCTGAAAAGTAGAAGGGTAAACAATCAGTTATGGTCTTTAACTCAGAAGGCATTTTTCCTTCTAACAAACGGAAGAAGGATATCTGGGTCCCAGTTCAGCGCATGGAAACCTGGTTAATCCCTCAGACGCGGGAATGCAGAGTTTACAGAGTTGGGTGGGAGGAGGAAGGTAAGCTTGGCAGCTGGCCAACTCAGCCACTTTCTAGTGATATAAGCCATGTCTTCCTCTTCTGTAAGTGGTGGCAGTAATTCTTGCCTTGCACGCAGACAGAAGGACTAGGGATGATGTGTACAGGCCCTGAGATGTAGGCATACTCTATATTTTGTTGAATGAAGAAGTATATGTGCCTTGTAATGAATGCATTCACAAGTAGGCAAAAAGCAGTTGGGGGCTGGTACTCCTCTTATGTCTGAAACAGAGATAAACATATGGAACAGTGCCTCTATGGTATTAAAATTTCATGGGGGTGAATGTTAAGGAAGAAATGTTTAAGAAGGGTCCTTAAACCAAATCACCCACCGCCATTTAAAAGATTCTGACTCATGGAGACCCCATGTGTTACACAGTAGAAGTACTCCATTGGGTTTTCTTGGTCACCAGGTCATTTTTCTATGATGCATTCTTCTGTGAGTGGGTTTCAACTGTCAACTTTTAGGTTAACGGTTGAACAGAATTGTTTCACCCCAGGGAAAGAAAGCTTCTGGGGTGGGGGGAAAACCCCCCCAAAACAAACCAAAAACAGAACCACTGCCACTGAGTCAATCCAATTCATATTGACCCTGCATCGGGTTTCCAGGGTTGTAAATCTTTACAGGAGCAGAAAGTCTCATCTTTCCCCCAAGGAGCATCTAGTAGGTTTGAACTGCCAACCTTGTGGCTAGCAGTCCAGTGCTTACGCTACAGCACCGTTAGGGGTCCTTGAGGGTGGGGGGAGGTGAGGTGATAATGAAAATATGCTTGAGAACACTGTCTTAATGTCCCTCCACCCACTCCCACCCCCAAGCCCTTGTCTTTACATACACTCTTCCTCGTGCATCCACCTTGTCCACTTAGGAAAACTTGACATTTATTGCACACCTATTTAAGGAAAGTGAGGCAGCACAGGAGGCACTCACTCATCTCTGCCAAGAAATTTGGAAGACAACTGTCTGGCCGACTGATTGGAAGAGATCAATGT